TCGTAGTTGTATCCTATTATTTACACTTTAATGTTGCAGTAAACTTGCAGTAAACTATATAATATTTACACTTTAATGATTTGGCACATCACTAGTAATATAGTTGTAATCAATACATTCCGCATATTTTTGTTATCTATAAACTAATTTAAAATTTGCCTATCACAAAAAGGATATCTACAAAATGACAAAAATTTGTGTTATAAACATTGACGAATAGTAAATTTATCATACCAATATTTAAGATAAGATAAAAGCAATTCGTATTTGTAAACAAGTTTCAAGAAATTATGAGGTACTTTTAAAACCTTTCGATATTATGATTGTGGTTGGTATTCTCTCCCCGATAACTCAAGGAAAACTAGCACCTTTTTCTGGGAAAAGATATGCGTCATTGTACAAAATTTAATTAGAATTATATTTATATAGTTGGGCTTTTTAGTATAGTAGTTAGTGACCCGACTGCTAAGCCGGAGGTTTGATTCCCACCCAGGACAAATCATTGTGTGATGAGCACGATCATTTCTTCTGTTTCTGGGTGTAATTTATCTATAATATGTATGTATTTCGTAATATTTAAGTATGTTTATCAGCCGTCTGGTTACTATAGCCCAGGCTGATCTCCTTTGGGTTCAGACTGCCGTGTATCAGATGGGTGAAGCTATTATTATTATTGTATAAAAACTAGTTATTGTACACAAAACAAAAGATGTGAACAAATTCATGGAATTATATTTTATTTATTCTACTACATTACTAAAGTACAATTGACGAGCTTATCACGGTTTGTGATCTCTTCCAATTAGCCAGTGAATAGAAACATAAAAAATAACATAAAAGAGCATTTAAATGTAAAAAAATATATGTTAACTGGGCTGGCTTCCTACCTGGCGCATCGAATGCTTATTTGGCACCGACGTAGTATAAAAATACTCAGTACACCTTGACCTTAAGATTTATACAAGCAAGAATTGTACAATTCTATTCAACAACTAGATTAGACAGATAAACCTGATCTTATGGTACGCTTCTAGATCACTGGTAAAATTGATTTTGGGAAGGAAATCTAATCAAAGCTCCCTTAGAAATGAGAAATTATCGAGTTTTCAAACGACACTCGGATATTGGGCGGTAATACGAGGTCGTTTAAAAACTGAATATCACGGCAAACGACGGGATAAGTTACTTTTAACCTTATACCGTGACAGATAAGTGTGTTTTTTCATTGGTGGTTATGTCGGACTCGAACCGGCCAAAACCGCACGCTGTTACGGGTCTAGTAGCCGGGGAACCAGGTGTACCCTAGGAAGGAAAGCCCTGGAACCCCGACGAACCCCGGGTCATCTATGGCCTGTAGATGACCCCCTAGTGTGGGAGAATCATGATGTTCCCATTCTACAACCTAACCAGACCTGCACTTATGGAGGAAAGCGGCATTGTTGATGGACCACTGCGCTATGCTCCAGTGTCAGAATCCAACACCCCCTGAGGTTTTTGCGCGTCCGTCCGTCAGACCGGGTCCGTCCGCCCCGTGGTTTTTTATAGAGGTTGCTTTCGTTGTAGCCCTTGAAGAGCCACTGTTCCTGACTGTTGCCAGTCAGGTTTACGACTTGGCCAAACAGCCTGCATCAGACCAGTGTCCACCACCTCTAGACAAAGCTAGCGGTAGAGAACCTGTCCGCCCCCTATCTTGCTTTCCAATATGCCCTTCGCTAAACAGAGGGAGAGCCTCTGAGCAACCCTCGAGAGGGCTGTTTTAATTTTGGCCCGAATCGGCCGTAGGTGGCAGTTCTTCCCCCACCTTGGGAAAGAAGCGCTGCCGTCTTCGTTGCCCAGGGTGCACCACGCGGAGGTACCAGACACCGCACCCAACAGATAGGTGCCTATAAAAAGATGTAATAACATTAGATTTTGTTAGATTTACTCGTACGTAACAGATTAAACTTGAACGATAATCGATAGTGTTGGCTTGGCTGGACGGCTGAAGACCTACAAGGCAGTTTGAATGTTCTAGCCCAGACGGGTCAGAGTAGTTGTGGTCGGACAAGGTAATTTTATATTTAATTGAATTTGTTGTACTCAAGGTTAGTCCCACCAAAATCTGAAGAAAAAATTCCACCTCTAACTTAATTATTGCAAGAAATTTACAAGTTTCTTAATGTTGCGAAATTTTCCAACACGATGTTGTTTTTAGTTTGAAAATACACGCCACTTAGAATAATGGAATATTTTAGAAGACAAACAAGGATGACTTTTCAAAAGACTAGGTGTTATACTATAACAAATATGTTTATCTGCCTTAACTTTAAAACATCCCGACTCCTTTTCTAATGAGCGTAAAGGTTATACTGCCTCGTTATTCAAATACTCGCATGGCAAACGAAAACATACGTAGACGTCATTGAAATAGGGGTGTGCTTTTAATGCTCGATCCGATGTTGTGGATCGTAGCGTCTAGATTCGTTCTACATATCGTATCGCCTGCGTTTGATCCGATTTGCAATTATTCGATTAAAAATGCATGAAAATGAAATATTCATAAAAGGTTTATTCTTTTTCGATACTCAAATAGTATTAAAATAAGCAGGGATTTGTAAATACACATCCAAAACGAAGAGTTATACCTATATTACTTAAGGATGTCCCAACTACTTTTCTGGTATACTGCTATTTAACAAGTTTATTTCTACGACCTATTAAAAGTTTTGATTGGTTCTTTCTTAAAACGCGAGTAAGTTTTCTTCATATGCTGTTAGAGCTCAATGATACAGCTGATAATGATGGTACCAATTGGCTTTTAACCCACCATAGGCCATAACTTGTCGATATCTTATTATAGTTATCTTTGAGTTAAACTTAAATCTAAATTCCAGATCTAATTTTAACCGCATAACCACAACACACATTAAATTGCTTGCAAGCAATTATGGCTGGAACGTGATTGAACATTTGATGGAGTTGAATCGATTTGCAAGTTGGATCGTATTGGTACAATACGATGTTCAAAAACATCGGACTAGTTCAGCACAGCCCTACACTGACACTGACACTGATTGCATCTCATGTAACGCGTAGTGTATAACATGGCCACACAACGCCAACAGTAATTAGCTTATACGAGTAATTGTAAACCACTGAATTAAATACAAAATTTACAAGAATTTAAATATTTGTGGCTTGATTAAGCACTTAAGTACATAAAGCGGCTTTAAAAAAAGGCTGTCAGTTTCATTTAGCCGGAGTTGGCAGTTATGCAGTTGTAAAATTGTTGATTTGATGGTGGTACTTTACCATTTGTAGAGGAAGTTGAAAAATATTAACTTTTAAATGTAAGTCTAACCTCCATTTTTTGAAAAGAAATAACAAAATCGTCTAATTATAAGATCATAATAATTATAATTATTGTAACTTGAGCTTAAGCGCATAATTTCGTCGAAATTTTAGTCCAACTGTGAGGGGTCATTTCAAGACAAAAGTTAAATGAGGAATGATATCGCAAAAAGGCCGAAAAGATGATGAAAAACGTAGATGTTGTTTATAATATGTACAATATTCTAATAACGCTAGACGAAGGCAAGAGTTTAGGAGATCACTTTCATTTTAATAGTTTCACAGAATCACCAGTCATCGTTAAGTCTATACTAACGATCTGTGGCGATGGCTTTTCAAAATAATTTATTTGTCTATGTTACTAAGTAACAATTGTTGTGAAAGCCGGTAGTTGTATATCTTAGAGTACTGATAATAATGCGTGTGGTACATGTGTGTAAACACTACAGTTTTACTTTGCAAAACAATAAAAACTATTATTGTACTTGAAATTTCAGGATTCGCACAAAATAGTGAGCGAGGGATAGAGACAGAGATAGAGAGAGATGAGGGTAAATAAAAAGATTTCAAAAAATTAGATTGTTAAGTTCAATGTAAATTTATCTATACAAAAACATAGTTTATGAAAAATGCACTGATATAAATTTGCTTACTTCGTTGCATTATAATATAACTTATATGTTAAATAGTAACAATTGCAATTCCATGTCGGTCCATGGTATTTGTCAACGACAATTATAGCTATTGTCTGTCGAAACATTAACCAATGTCACCTCTAGTAGTGGACACAGTTGCGCATGTTTTTACATTTTGCGTATTAAAACACGCAACCGTCAATTTGTTTATTTAACACCTCGGGCAATCAAATTTTGTCAATTTTTTATTGATATTTGTTTCACACTTATCTCGATATATGCATATATATCAAACAATTACTTTGTACATGTGTAAATATTATATAGACACGCTAATTTGATAATATATGACCGATAGAACAAGATAATATCATTATGTGAAAAAAAAAACAGATTTTGTGAATGTCTTGAATTTTTAATAGCAGCCGCAGCAGGCGCACAAACATTTCGATATTAATCGCACGCGAGCAAAATTACATGGGAATCAACATGAACATCACTAGCTCCATCTAATAATAAAATGCATCAAAATGAATGATAATGGCGCACTGTATAAACGAAAATTAACAGACAAAAATGTTGAAGGTCGTGACTTTGACCTCTAAATGTAAACAGCGTCTGATCAACCCCAGAAAGAGGCACGCACCAATGTCAAGTACGATCTATTCGTATCGGTGTGGCGCTGTGTTACACGAATTGCGTCACGACTCCGTCACTCGGCACCTGGCAACCCCAAAAGTCTGTTTATATGACGCCAACGATTATATATGATATATCAGAATTAATAGACTATTAAAGTCACGATGGCAGAAGTGACGTAGGGCGCGTCGCTACCATGATTAATGGTGTACGATTCGTATCTTATATTAGCACCGTGACGTTTGCATGCTAAATCATCTTACATGTACTCGCTTACGAGTTCTGGAAAAATATAAAATATTGTGAGTCGTCACGCAATATTTGCTCATGCTGAAAAATAGTCTTACCAAAGACAATTTGCCATTCCATTGCTTTTTAAGTTAGTTGTTTATGTATCTATCGGCAGACGGATGTGAAGTGATCACTTTCATTTGGGCTGTTTATTACACTATTTGTCAGTTCAGGGGTGCCATCTGGTATGTGTCTAGGTATCGCTTTCTGAGTATTGTTGGTATCACAGTGAGGGGACGTGTCCGGTGTCGTCGACCCGCCGGAGCCCTGGCACACTATTGGCGACAATACGCTGGCAGCACTCCAAGCGCCGGATGGCTCGATACATCGACTGCACATGCAACACACCAGCCAAACGTGCACTTCTGAAACTGCGATTTTCTTCTTTCGATTTCGTACTTCGTTAAAGAGTCGGTACAGTTTTGAAACGGCAAACTTAAATTGGTAAATGGGTAAATTAGTGAAAACGCCCGCAACGTTTTGCCTTTTGATGTTGAGAGCATCCAGGAAGTCGTTTAGGCACGTTGGTATAATATAACGACGCATCTATTATTTCGTATAAATAAAAATAAATCGTAATGACATAAGTCATTATGCAAAATTCCAATTTCCCTTCCAATTCATATAAGGAACGTTAGATTATGTTTGCAAACTAAATCAGACACAACATTAATAATATTAGTCGTCCAAAGTGGGTTCTAGAAAATCCCGACTTTGGAACACGGAATGCTAATAATTTAAACGGAGAACTACTGGTTTTTTACTAATTTTTTTGTTACGTGAGGAAACTTTTCTGGTCTTTAACCCACTGGGGTGGTGTGTTGGAATAGAACTGACTAAAACCACATGGTATGCCACTCTGCACCTGAAATAGGAGGGATCCGGAAACTGCTACTATTAAAACATCCGGGCCACTGGTTATTTGCTAAGCATCAGTTTTTCCTTATATACTGATTATTTCATAGGGTTGGACAGATTAAATTATTGTCATTACATGAATGTATTCCGCTCCTGATTTCCCACGTAAATATAGACACAAAATCTAGTGAGATAGTTATAAAATACAACACTATCGTAGGTTTAAAATATGTTTACTATGCTGTGAACATCATCATCATCATCATCATTATCATCATCATCAGCAACAGCCTCTAGCAGTTCACAGCTGGACATAGGCCTCTCCTTAGAAAGGAGGTTTTGGCCTACTATACCACGCTGGCCAGACGGGTTGCTATAGGGTTTGTTTCAAGGTTTCCTTCTCTTTGCAGTCCTGCGTAGTTTGCTCTCTAAGTCGACTCTTACGACACCCACGGGATGAATAGGGGTGGGGACACTCCGTATTCTTAATCCGTCGACGCGACGTACGAAGTACAGTATTCTCATGGTACGTATGCAAATCTTATATATAAAATTCTCGTGTCACAATGTTCGTTCCCGTTCTCCTCCGAAACGGCTTGACCGATTCTCATGAAATTTTGTGTGCACATCGGGTAGGTCTGAGAATCGGCCAACATCTATTTTTCATACCCCTAAATGGTAAGGGTGACCCATCCCTATTTTTTTGGTTTTGCAATACAACGTTTGCGGGGTCTGCTAGTCTTATACAATAAAATTCTCGTGTCACAATGTTAGTTACCATACTCCTCCGAAACTTATGAAAACGAATTTTTATGAAATTTTGTGTGCACATCGGGTAGGTCTGAGAATCAGCCAACATCTATTTTTCATACCCCAAAAATTTTTTTTTCAATATTTCCTAGAAATAATGTATATGCAAAACAACGTTTGTCGGGTCAGCTAGTAAACTATATTCCTTATTGTTAATAGATGAGAAATTACTCATTGATTCTGATCAATGGGGATATCAATCAACACAAGCGGATTGCATGAGGCTCTTGAAGGGATTACGGGCTGGTGTAAAATGACTAATGAACGTACTATGCTGCGGCGCAATTCATCAACACACACGCTGTACATGCTCGTGCGGAACTTGTGGTTGAAAATATTAGTATCGGCTGTAAACAACAATGTTTTATAATACTAAACATTATTTTAAATGTGTCTGTGAGTTCGTTTCATCATCGTAAGTTTCTGGACACTGTAATGGATATAGAAGACGGTATGGAGTACTTTTCAGAAAAAAAACTGATTTGATACTTGCTATGAATGATAAAATGTATCTAAAATCTTATTTAAGTTAGGTCACAGGTTTTTCTTACAATAACATACGGGATATGACGCAAATTGTTTAATGTTTCTAGTAACTTTGACTTCTATTGAAGGTAATAAATATATTATGACGCATATCTTACACTAGTTGTTCTTAAAATAATATATAAATGACATGCATAAACAAATTTGTTTACCGGTGTATTAAGAGTATGAAGCATAAAGCTACGGAGCTACGGAAAAAAATTAATGAGGGAGATTATGGCATGTGCAAACATGTTTATTTGTTCTGTAGAATTTTTATTTCATATTTCATAACAACAGGAAAAATAAATTAAAAAAGTTTTACACAAACAATTGTAAGAAATCTAAAAAGAGATTTGCGAATGTTACGAAACTTAACCGACTGTTTTCTCAGTACCGACGGAGCCGTTCGGGTCCTGTTTGCGTTGGGTTGGTGTCAGCCACTGCACCGACCACCGGACAAGGTCGCATCGCTTTTTCATAAAGGTCTGTCAAAAACTATCATCTCCTAAATACACAAATTGTACCAGTTATGAACTTATATAAATAAATAAAATTGAATTGTCTGTTTGTAATGTCAAAATAACAGGTTTTTTCATGCTTACACGTTTATTTGCACGATACTTATGCCTAAAAATCAGTCTGTCTGTTTATTCCGGGTAATCTCCTAAACGGCTAGACCGATTTTATTTTATTTTTTCTACCAGGTAGCTGTCTATGTAAGGAGTAACATAGCCTATTTTCTCTCTCAGAAAACCCTTTAAAATTTTGACCAGTATTATAAATGTAAAAGTTTATACGGATAGATGGCTGTACGTTTGTTTATCAATTTATCAGACCAGCTGCACATAATTGGACTGGTATAGATTATCTCAATCTGTTACAAAAAATAGGCTACCATTTATCCCTAAACCAATACCAAAACGAGCAAAACCGCGAGGCAAAGTTAGTATTTTTAATTATGAATACCACTCACAAAAGTTTTTATTCTATTACTTAAAAGTATTTTCAGTTTTTACACGTGCTTTCACTCCTAATGCGTTTATGCCATACAAACATGCAAATTAATTAGATAACAGAACTAACAGCCGTACCACGTGGAGTGACAAATACGCTTTGCGTCTTTTAACTCATCTTTCTACGAGTACTTCACATTATAATATATTATTATAATTAATCATATTTACATTTCCTTGGCTATAAAACCAAGTAGGTAGTGCTTTGCGACATATCTGTCTGTTTGTGCCAACAATAATAAAGAGCTGATCTATTTGAGGATAGACTTGATGGCAGAAAATAAGAGAATCGCGAGTAACGATTTGAAGGAATTCTGCGTGTTTTAGTTGTCGTTTAGAAATTCCTTTTAGACACGAACACGGGACAGGATTAGATAGAATAAGGAATAAAAATAGTTTAGTGTCATGTTGGTTGTTTGTTAGATTTTACTTACGAACATTTCGTTCTAAATCTATCAGGCTGTAAAGCAAGAAAACGATTTATCACACACTAAACTCTGCTGTCAGATGGGTTGTATTTGACGTCAAATAAAACCACGCAAATCCGTAAATGCGTTATAGGAAATGTTATCTCAATGAAATTAATTACCCCTTTTTTTCGTGCGGAAATCCCCTCGGATACTACCCACCGTTGGCTATGTCGGACTCGAACCGACTAAAAACTGCACGCCGCCTCGGGTACTAGTAGCTGGGGAACCAGGTCTTCCTAGAAAGGAAATCCCTGTTACCTCGGGCCATCTACGGCGGGTAGATGACCCCTCCTGTGCGGGAACCCCATGTTCCCGTGGTATCCGAGGGGATTTCCGCACGGAAAAAAAAAAGGGTGACAGATGGCCTCACCTGTCACCCCCAAGGCTGCGCTTATGGAGGACGGAGGTCATTCTGCGACCTCCGGCGCCTGAATCGTCTGCGGTACCTGGCCCGTTCCCGAGCCTGGTGGGCCAGGAGAGTTCTAAACTTCTCCCGGTCCCGCTCTGCCATCTCCTTCGCAAGCATAACTTGCTCGCAGAAGGAGACGAATGAAATTACCCCTACTAATAAAAAAATTCGCAGCAATCCTATTGAAGATTAATTATTTGAATAGTCGAATGCGGACTGCTTAGTGCAGCACCTCTACTTACAGAAAAGTCTCTCAGTGGTAGTGTCTGACATATTTGAATTTGTCACGAGTCACACAATCATGTTGGCCAAAAAAAAAATGTGTGCTTTTTTGAAAAAATAGTTTTCTAAATAAGCAAAACGAGCTTAAAATGTGACTCATAGTCATCGCATCATTTTGTACTAGTTTGCGAGTGTAATCATCCCTCGCTCATCTCATGACGCGGTATCCATAAATAGAGCACCCTAAGAAATAAAACAAAATGAGTTACCCATGACTGTCGTGTTGATTCAGAACGAGGGGTGACTAAGATAATGTATCAACATTTAGAAGATTTTTGCCCTGACTAATAACGGTTAGAAATTATTCCTATCTCATAAACATTCCATACACGCATAAACTATGGAAAATAATTGATCACACAGTGTGACTAACGATATTGGGTCTTATTTACTACCTACCTAAGTATTTGCATGTTTTGTTTTGAAACATTTAACACGTGAACAATTCAAAACGCGTACGACCATGAAAATGAAAACTTTAACTAAGTCTTTTTAATGGCATAAGGAGATAAAGGAACAGACGGGTGACCTGTTGTTAAGTAACTACCGCGGTCCATGGACACCTACACGTGAACAATTCAAAACGCGTACGACCATGAAAATGAAAACTTTAACCAAGTCTGTTTAATGGCATAAGGAGATAAAGGAACAGACGGGTGACCTGTTGTTAAGTAACTACCGCGGTCCATGGACACCTGCAGCGCGTTGCCGTACTTTCCCCGCATGAAGGTTTATGATCCGGTAACCTCACTTACTCTGTGAAAAGCAACGCAATAAAACAATCTACAAGATAGGAGACTAAAACATTAAGATTGCTTTACTTAAATTGTCGACTGTAAGTACAGCATTTTTTTTTTTTTTTTTTTAACTTTTTGCACAAGTACATGCATCGGCGGACTTAATGCCTAAGGCATTCTCTGCCAGTCGACCGATTGGGCGATGCTGAGAAAGAATGAGGTAGGTGCATTTATGATAGGGTATAAACGATAGTGGTTTTGTTAAATACCAACTATTTTGGAATTTGGTGTATACGTCGTAATACCACACACATACACATATATATACATATACATACTCATAAACTTTTTTAACATTTAGTTTTTTTATAGGAATTCCTTTCTTCCATAGGTCCTTCAGTGCAAATTCATTTTCATAAAAATATTTGTTGAAACATAG